GTATAAGGATTCAATAACTTGAAGATTCACAAACTATTTATATAGAATGAACTTGGGRTGGTGAGAGTACTTACATTGGTGGGTTGGTTTGCATGTGACTGGATGGGATGGCTAGTTTGCATAAGTTCGTTACTATAGGTAGTTGCTTTAGTTGCTCGCCACGTGCTAGAGCTATAGGAGTTAGTGTCAATTCGTGCATTTTCTGTAACAGTTTTTTTTACTTAGGTCAATTCTTGCATTTTATGAGATCTTTTCTTATTCTTGGCCTTGTATAAATCTTGGCAAGCTACTTCTCCTACGGGAAGCGCTGCTGAAATTTCTACAAAATCAAGAAGTTAGTAAACTTTGGACTTGTCAGAGTTCAGCTTGTCTTTTCCATATATGGATTAGTATAAATCTGGAAAGTCTCCTTTTCTAGAGGGAGTGCTGCCCAAATTTTTACTAATTCAGGGGGTTAGACAAAATTGGACTTTGAGAAATCAAAGTTATTCTCAAAATTCTGAACTTAGCCTTGTATAAATTTTGGAATAACACTTTTCTAGAGGGAGTGCTGCCGAAATTTCTGCAAAAAAGATTAAGGAGTTTAGTTAAAATTTAGCCTAAAAGGTTAAGCTCGAACTGTTGTTCGAGTCCATATCTGACTTAGTATAAATCTGGACAGTCTCCTTTTCTAAAGGGAGTGCTGCCCAAATTTCTACTAATTCAGAGAGTTAGACATAATTTGACCTTCCAGGAGTTAGAGATTATCTCCTGCTTTGTATCTGGCTTAGTATAAATCTGGAAAGTCTCCTTTTCTAAATGAAGTGCTGCCCAAATTTCTACTGATTCAGGGAGTTAGACAAAATTTTGGCTTTCCAGAGTTAGAAATTATTTATATTTTTCATATTTAGACTTATATGAATTCTAGAAAGACAATTTTCCTACGGGAAGCGCTGRCAAATTTCCTTGGTTTAGAGGAGATAGATTATATTTTGACAGGTGGTGATTCAGACGATCCACCCAGAATAGGTGAAAGTCTGTAGTTGATTTACCTTTTAGCTTAAGCATTTGGTTTAAAAGTAGACTTAGGTTTAATTTATAAGGAGATTTTTTAGGAAGGATGTTTTATGAAATTGTATTCTTAGCTTGGGAATTGGTCTATCGTGTGTTTCAGGTTCTTTTGATCTTTTGATTCAAGATCAGGATTAGATCCAGCTTGATCCCTTGAGGATCATTATCTGTTATCACTGATAACAGGTCGGTTGCCGATTCGTCGGTTTACGACTCAATTTCAACTCTCCCTCTACACTCAACCTAAAAGGCTTTAGCCCAGGTGATTTTCGTTGTTTTATTAAGGTTTCACCCGGACTTTTATTGAATGGCCATTGAACAAAGGTGCTAAGCATTTAATTAAGGTTGGTTGGACAGAAGGTTTGGGGCTTGCATGGCTAAAGCGAAAGGGTATGAATGTCGAAGGTGGTTGGGGTTGACTCCGTGTAGTGTGTGGACTGTTGATTTGGTTCGTTGATGTGACGGCAGGTATGTGCTGTGAATCAGGTTCTGGATTTGGTTGCCTACGATCACACATATACGTATTATCATGAGAAACCCCAGCGAAACCATGAGGAGCGATCGTCACATATCTAATCCTTATATATGTATACATAAGCATGCTTGGGATGAATGTTTGCATGGGTTGAAGAACCCCCATATTAAAAGCCCGTCCAGAAGCTGGGACTGAAGAACCTAGGGGAGGCCCCTACTTCTATTTTTACTCCTGCTTGTTGATTTTCTTAGTCGGACGTTGGCCCTGGGCTGGGATTCGAGGTCCTTGTCCAGGACATCCCAAGCCCTAGGCTCTGCAGGGGAGGGGCTTTCCCTCGCGCAGAGCCTATTTGATTGGCCTACCGAGACGCTTAGGTCAAGAGCCTAAGGCGTAGCGGCGGCTGCACAACTATTTCCTTCAGCCCTGCAATGTCGTGAAGGGTTAGGCCCTCACGACACTTCAAGTCTGACACTTGAGCGTCATAAGCGGTACTCGGATCCACGAGGGACMGCTTGATTATGGGCACTACATATTACGCCATCATTGCGACTGCTTGCGTACGTTTGCATTGCGAGTCGATATGAGTAGGCCCTGCGTCTGCGCGTTTTTATCCTAAGTCCCGCGCGCGACGGCTATTCGATTTTTGCGTCCGAAAGTGACGGGCTAGGAGCGTTGTCGCGTTGTTTGTGTCGTGTCGTTTTGTACGTGTGCRTGTAAATGTTTTTATGTCTTTTTCTGGTCGTAACGTGGAGTGCGCGTGGTGTGTGGGAAACGTCCTAGTCGACCGACGACGAGTTGCGCTTGGGACCTCAGCCTCCCCAAGATGTCGGTTCGCGTGCGGGTCCGATAGAGGCGTATTACCGCGCGTACCCCCTATGCTACAGCGAACGAGAAACGCCCTCGGCTGGTCCACCTCTGCGATTGC